AAGTCCAGACCTTAACCCCATAAAGATCCTGTGGTGGGACCTAAAGAGAGCTGTGCGTACAAGAAAGTCCTCAACCATCACAGAGCTGGAGCAGTTCTGTAAGGAAGAGTGGGCCAGATTTCCTCCCAGGCGATGTGAGAGACAGATTAACTATTACAGGAAACATTTCATTCAACGTATTGCTGCTGAAGATGCTGCCACAGGTCACTGGATCAAGGGGTGCATTTACTTTTTCCCCCCACACAGAGATAATGATGATTAATGATGATTTTATTTTTTAAATAATGACAAACTAGAACTTGGTGTTATTTGTCCCATGAGTTTATTTTTATTTTCTACTAGGCCTTGGTAAGGACTAGGTGAAGGCAAAAGGCCTAAATATGTAAGACCATCAAATCTACTTACTTTTTCACTGCCCTGTAGGCAGATTTATGGAATTCAGCAATTACTTCAGCTTTTCAGCTGTTCTAAACTGCATGTGAATATAGGTCTCTCAATCTCCTGCATAAATGGCCCTGTTTAAGGCTACGGCCTGCACCAGTTTTAGAAGAGGTGGCGGGAACAGTAAGTTTACTGTAGCCTCCTGAGATAGCTGACCTAGCTGGGAAACTCTCCCATGTTCTAAACTCTAGCGCCTCATTTGTCAAAGCTGACCCTGAAAAATGCAGCCATTTTGTCATTTATCTTCCCTGCTTTCAGACCTACAGTATTTTTAGAAAGCGTCCTGAAGAAAATAACACAGAGGAAGTAGAACAAAAAGTAGTTTACACCATGAATGTGTCAGGAAAAAAAAAACAGTCATAGAAATGATTAAATTAGAACTCTATGACACTGACTGAAGAACGCAATTAGGAAAACAAGCAGCCCCCCTGTTTATCCTTCTTTAGATATCGAATTAGTGGCCAACAAAAACCCCATAAAATAAAGCAATCATAAGAACACCTTCCACACTCTGTTAGTCATTACAGGAATTTTTTTGAAAATCCATTACTTATTCAATACCAAATCAAGTACTGTGGAATGGTGTAAGAAATCGAATATTAGGCCACATATTCCGAATCACTGCAAGGTACTGTAATTCTTTATGCACATCTAATTCTAATATAGAGCACTTCCACACTGATCAATCCACGATTTTTATAAAAGTTGTCAAGCTCATTTAACTTCAACCAGTAATTCAGTGCTAATTATCATTTAGAATAATTATATTTTGTATTAAATACATGTGCAACTGACAGAGGCCATAGATTCACTGTTATTCCGAGATCAGGGTGTATTGGCACAACAGTCCATCTTTCAGTTTCTGGCTTCTCCCTCGGTCTTCTTGTATCAGTGTGAGATGGCCTGTGTGCTGACTCAGGTGAGTGTGCAATTTCATGAAGGCAATCAACTAATTTATGTTAAAAGCTTGTGGCGGCACTCCTATTACATTAGCATTAATCTTTTTTTGCACCCAAGCTATAAGTGAATGAAGTCCCTGGTCACTGTTTTAACCAGTTAACCCTTTCAGTATTTCTGTACAAATAGTTGTGCGTTGCTTAGTTTTAGAATGTCTAAAAAAAAATTCATTAGACAGAATTGTGAAGATAAAATAAAGGGTCTTGAAAGCTAAATGATTTAAAAATGTTTCAGAAAACTCATACAACTGCACATGTCCTCTAATCCAATGTGATTTCTTTTTTAGGTTACAACGCAAAAACAGAATTGCACACTAGAATTCCAATATGAAAGAAATCCATCTTATTTTGAGATGAGATTCCATTCATAATTTTCATTGCTCCTGATACATGTTTGCGACACCAGCTTTAACTGGACCTCAATCTAATCCCACTACTTAGCCTCCCCATGGGAACACTAGTAATTTCTCTCCATCAGTCATTTCATACTGCCTGAGCCTCTGTCAAAGAATATAACCCATCTCTCACTCCTCCCGAATCTCTATCCATTCAGCTCAGAGTTGATTAGAGGCTGCTATCAGGTGCATCTAAAACAATCTCAGGGAGGCTCAATAAAACTCTTTCCAGTAAACAGATGCTTAAACGCACTAGGAAATCAATGCAGTGTGCAACAGAGACAGGAGTCTGATGAAAAGGCTATAGAGAAGGAATGATTCAGCAATACAGGGGGCCAACATGTGACTGAAGAGTGTTTTGTTATACAGGTTATACAAGTGTTAAATGTCACTTATCCTCTGTTTCAATTCACCCCGTCACTGAATCATTCAGCTTTTTCTAATATTAGCTAGGATATAAACAGAGACAAGGCAGCTGAGAATGCCTGGGAATTCAACTGTTCCAAAACAAAATTCAGAACTGCGAATGCAGAAGCCTTGTGTTGTACCAGCCTGACCTCAGCTGTACTGCTGGAAATGGATCAGGGCCATCTTGTACATCCAAAACATTACCAGGAACCATAACTTTAAAAGAGTGTGGGCTGTGAGGGGAAAAGCTACCCAGCCACATGACAGTTCACAAAATGGCTGGATAAGACTCTTGAATAATTAGGTTCTAGGAACCCAGTAATAAGATTGGCTATATGGACTTCACTCATCTGCACATATTCTTGAGTGCTTATCTTTTTTGTTCATTAACTTTGCAATGAAAGAAAAACAGCATACAAAGGTGCATTTACAAAAGACAAAATATAAATGCTGCAGTAAGTTACGAAAAAATGTCTTCAGGAACCCTTCTGCCCATTGATCTAAGCAAATGTCTTTGCTTCACTTTCTAAATAGAGCAGCACTTCAACACTTCACTGTTTTGAATGGTACAATGAAGATTTGTTAACTGCATGGCTAAGCTGAAGCTACTCCTAAATAATGGCTAAGAGTTAACAATGAGTGAGTCAGATCTGCACGACACCCACGCTGTTTTATAATACAGGACATTTAAAATGCCAAACCTTTTCACGAAGCAGTAAAAAATGCTGTTGGTAATCCTTACTGTACACTGCTTGACCTTCTAATTTTAGTGTGAGGATTCCAATAAAATTCATTAAAAAAATTAAAATATAAATGCCTATGGAAAGTATTTTTTCCATCACTGCAATAACAAATCCCTCTTCTGTTACATATTGTTTTGATATTATTTCCAGGGCAATAGTAGTGATGTTTTTATGGATATATATATAATCTTTCTGCAGAATAAGGAGCACACCGAGACTCATTTATCATAATGACACATCAAAAATGGTAGAATCCTAATACCCAAAGAACAGTAACAGATGAAAACTGGCAACTGATTTGCATCTAAAGCATTATCAGCAAAGACTCCAGCAACTTGCAGGTCAAGCAGTGTCAGAAATTACCTTCTGAACAAGACAAATAAGACATCTTATTTATTGGAGTCTTTATGCATTTCCAATAGAAATCTCTATACCTCTCTTTTTTGCTGTTATAGGAAAAGAAAGTGTGGTCACTGTAAACCATTCAGCTTCTGAACGTAAAAAGTCATCAGTAAATATTAAATTTCCTTTAAATTATCACCTTATTAGGATGTTGCACATCTATACAGTGACTAAATAAGCTATGTCATATACTTAACATTCCTCATATATAGAAATGCAATATAACATATATACAACTAAGCACAGGTGCAGATGTAAATTAGGCCTCTGTTGAACAATGCCGACAGTGTAAATGGTCACGAAAGTTGTGATTTTCTCAGATTTTTCAACCAGCTTAGATAACTTAATAATGTTAGTTGGGGAAAAAATGCAAAACATCTTGAACCTCCATAGCCATTTTTAAAGGCTTCATCTGGGTATACAGAAGAATGCACCTGGAAGGACAATTTAGTGGCATGAGCTACTTTCTTTTAAAGTGAGAATCCATACTTAACACCTTGAGTTTGGAGTCCAGACAACTCGGCAGTGCACTGTTCCTCCCAGGAGGCAGTTTGCTGACTTGGAACTTTGACAACGGAGTGAAGCTTAAAGCAGAGGTCTCCATTTGTAAACAATGAAATTTGGCAAACTGGTAGTGGAGGGCACATAATTCGATCTGAAAAACGTTCCAGATTTGCCTCAGAGACGGTTCAGCTAAAGAGACAAATGAATCCAATTTGTCCGGCCTTACTCTGAAACAAAAGGCACTGATCGAAGAGTAAATGCATACAGCAGGAGCTAGTTTAGAATGGCATGACAAGACTGTTTCGCTGTTCAGCTACACTGGTGCTCTGTGATACCCTTTACAGGCAAACCAACCAACATTGTCATGCAATTCATTTCCAAAGGCCAGGGTTCCTTCACTGACAGATTCCCAATAACATTATTTGATTTCAGTGCTTCACATTGCACTTGCCGGCATTTCATGCAGTAATCAATAAATTAAATAAATGCATTTAATGCATTAATTGGCAAATAATTGGTTTTCTCTCAGTGAGAGTTAATTTGACACCTGAAGTGCAGGCATATCTTTTCAAAAGGTTATGTACTGTAGTGGACTGCATCAGTTTTGTGTCTCTCCCTTAAAAGTCTTATCCAACCAAAACATGTGTTATACATTTATCACTTCTGATAGCCACCTGAGCTATGAGCAAGGAATTCTTATATTCTTAATATCAGAATAACCCAGAACCTAAAAAATAATGACCGAAAAGGCAGCTGTCTTTATCAGTTGTAATTCAGCTTAGTCAACAAGGTGAAACTGAAGCACATTACCAATTTTAGGTGGCCTAAAACCAAGATAATCATCCATCATCCTTTGAAATTGAGTTTTCTTGAGCTTTTATTCACCTTATACTGAAAACTGCTGTGAAATCCCAGAGAGATTTTTTTTTTCCTTTGATTAATGATATTGGCTGTTTGCCCTTCAATTTTATGGCTACCAGATAAAAAACACTTAGGTTTATGCCTGTGACAGATTTGTTGAACGGGGGATTGTAAAAGCCTACTGTATTGTTTGTAGGTTTCAAAACGCATTTCTTACCTGAGCAGAGTTTCAGTAAGAACCCTTACAGTGCACTGCTGTGAGGAGCATTTTTATTTTTTTGCAGCCTTACCTTGTCCGCCATAATCATGGAGGATCCTCCATGGATTCCGAAGATGGGAATGAAAGTCTGGGATGAAATAAAATCCAAAATCTGGGCAATCGCTTCTTGATCCGTGCCGTCTCCAAATACCACCCCATGAATCTTGGTCCCGGACATCAGGTCGCACACGTGGGTAATAATACTTTTCGGGTCCGTCTCGTTCACCAGAAGGGTCACCACATTCACATCAATGGGATCATCTTTGCTCCAGAGAGCCCGAATATCTCTGTCAGAGACGTAACGGGTCTGCCCCAGGATGACAGCGATGTTCAGGATGGGGACTTTCTCTGCTCCCCACACAGAACCAGAGTGACACAGAAGTGCAGGCAGTGTCAGGAGAAGCCACCCCATGTTTCCCATATTGGTCATCTTCATTCCCTACAGACACGACAGCACAGAGAGGCACATCTTTTACTATGGGGCAAGACAGCACACTAAACATGCATTTTGACAAATTAGAGTACACTTTTATATGAAAGGGTGGGTATAATCAGTGCAATACTGGACAAGTCCACACTCCTCTTCCTTGAGATTTAATGCAGTAATGCTGCACCAGCTAGCAATGTTGAAGAAGCACACTAACAGCTCTGGGGAGATCAGTGTACATCTGCGCTTGTTCATTTCTGTTCTTCATTCTTTTTTAATACTCTGTTAAAATGGACGGACAGGCTGAACTAATGTGGTGGTGTTTTACTGATGCAAGTACCGTCTCTAGGATTTCACAACGTTCCTTACACGTTGAAAGAAACTACTAGCGACTATGGTCTAAGCCAAAGCAAAGGTTAACCAATGGCTGTGGAAGCTCATTATTCAAGAGTCGAGTCTCCTTGGGTGAAAGGCAGAGAGCTCCCGCACACAAAACGATCAGATTGGATTAATAATTTGCAACTGGAGGAGAATAGAAGTGTTGCTTTTTGGCAAAGTTAGGATCTACTCTGTGGACTCGGTTTTGTCTGATTTTGTGTGATTTGCCACAATTAGCCGTTGCATTCACAACTTCAAAACTAATACTTTGTATTTTACCTCCAACAGAATAATCAAGGCATTAGGATTATCGAGCACCACAGCAGGGACGCAGACATGCATCTCTAAAGGCTTTCAAAGTACCAGATATTCTGCTGGAGATAACAACATGCTGCTAAGAACAATTACCAAACGTTTCAGCAGAATGTCATCTCATCAAGGCAACCCTAACTGGAAAAGATGAAGCTGGACCAAACAGCATCGGAGCATCATTGAGAGCTGTATTCTGAAAACATACATGTAGTTCCTGGAGCACATTATCAAATGATGTGTTCTCAAGAGCTATAATTTATTCTAACTACTGACCTATAATTACCATCACTCAAACTACTGCAGTTTGAAATAAGTACCTTATTTTCCTAACAGTATACTAATTAATGACATAAAAACACATGTAAGGTCAGGAAACAGAGAGGCAAGACAGACTGTTTCTATTCTATATACAGTACATGCACAAGTGTTTTGAGTTGTTCTAGTTACGTGCAAAAGTTTGGGCTGGGAAATCTGTGCATGGTTGTGAAGAGAAAAGATGTCATTGTGCAATCCAAAAGGGAAAAAACACAATTCTTTCCAGAGCAAATATACAAGAAAATTATTGTGTGTGGGGAGGGGGACCCTAATACTGTACATACAGTATGTAAAGTTGTATTTTAAAAGTCTAAACGACAGCATAACGTATGTCTAATAAAACTGGGTTATGTGTCAGCGTCAAAGAAAATAGCAGGCACCACTGTCCAACTGTTTCTTAGAATACATAAAACATGGCATCGTTGCCATTGTGAAAATCGGTCAGTAGACCTTATTGCAAAAGGGATTTTGTGTGCTGGGTTATCTTTTTCAATCACGTGCTCTCCAGAAACAAAAACGTGAAGTATTAGCACCTCATTTTCTCTCAGGCTTTAAAGAGTTCTCTAATGAATTTCAACCAGTGTGCAGGGTCATTTAATAAAACGTGTCCTGTATCACACACGGTCTTCGGTAATGTAAAATTCCTTAATGCTGTATCTATCTGTCATTTTTACTTATTTTAAAATGTTTTGTACCAAGTTCAAAAATTGTTTCCAAAAATTCCAAACGCTAAGCATTTTTATGTTGATGGCTCTCGTTGGATTATTGCTGCTCATTGTGTCTTTTCGAAAAGACTATACCGAGATCATTTTCAATCATTTGCATAAAATATAATTTCAATATCTAGATTTTGAAATTAAGGGGGAACAAATAGCTCTTAAAAACATTTTCCATGTGGAGGTCATTCCCAGGTTAATCCCAGCTGTTTCACAAAAAAAACTTAACATCCGTTTGCAAATGTGCATGTTTAACAATGGGTAGACTCATTTTACAATCGTAATTACCTTTAATAATATAGTATCTTTTAAACCTTGGTTTGTTTCCAAAGAATGGATGGATTATTAAACTGTGGGCAATGGTGTATTGTAATTATACAACAGCGTCGAGCCGTTTTTGAACGGTGTATTATACTAAATGCAGTTTGTCCGTTATATTTTTGCATGAAGCGGAAAATTTTTAAATCTCGGTGTATACTTCAACATCCATTGTTTTGTTGTTTCCGAATTTCAATCGCTATGATGTTCAAATTAAAGCATTCACAGAGACCTACTGCACACTTACTACACTCCAATACAAGGAGTCAAACTCCAGCTATACAGTAGATTTTGGGAAAACCTTCAGTTTTGTTTTTCAGATGTAGCATGTAAGGTTAACTTGTTTTTTTTTTATACCAAAAATCTTTGCGCTTAGTCAGTAACTAGAAGGATGAATTGGCGTCTTTATGAAAAAAAAATACTAAATTTATCAGACCTTTGTTATATTAAGAAGAAATCAATTTTAAAGCTTCATGCCACAACGCGAATACGTTCTAAACAGGATTTATTTTCGACTCCTCATTAACTTTGTGACAGTAATCATTATACAAGAGCGCCACTTAGCGGTTTCGCCAATATTTTCAGCTCTCTACAGCCTGGCATCAATAGACTTTTATTCCCCCCCAAGACATACCTTCAATGTCACAAAACGTAGTTGCAGATTTGCGTGTCAGAAGGTTTGGCATGACGCGAATCCTGGCAGCAAGAGGTAAGAGTTCCCTCCATATAACTCTCAAGGCAAAAAAACTCGATTCTGGCGGACATTTCCAATCACTCCTCACCGCGCCAGCACCTAACCAAGTAGGAAAGTATGCAAAGTTGATCTACAAAGGAGAAACAAAAATTAAAGCCGCAGTGAATCAGGTTCCCCAAATTCTGCCTGTTATTTATAATTTAACCCATAATGTTAATTGTTTCTCCTGGTCGTTACAATAATTGGTGTGACCCACGTTAGTTTTATTCGGCGTATTCCTGTATATCTGGTGTGACCGTTTACTGCAATCGCTAGAACAGGCGACTCGCAAGGCAGAGTGAATGACTACAGAGGTCTGCTACTCACATGACGAGGACACGAGTTTTCTTGCAGGTAAAAGACGGTGCTATTTTGGAGGGGGGAACAAATCGGATGTACTCGATTTCCTTTTCACAAGCAGCGATTTGGATTACACCCCCCCCCAATGGTATACGAAATTATCAACCTACAGTAAAAGTCGCAAACAAATGCTGCCGTTTTTAGGGACTATTTAGGGGGAAAAACGCATTCGGTGTCTTCCCACGGTACTAAATGGTAAAAACAGGCTGCACTACACGAACAAATTGATACTTGCGTGCTTTTGTGTAAAAACAATCCACAGATTAGAGAAAACAAAATGTTCAAGTGTATCATCGTGTTTATAAAATACAGTTTAAGACATGGAAATCTTTATGCTGGACAATACTTTGCTGACAAAATGCGCATTAATAACAGGACCTACTGGTTACAGAAAAACAGGTAAAATTGAAAACTGACATACTTACAGCATCTTTTTTCCACATAGCTCCGAGATAGTAATATGAGATGACATTGCAACCGAGTCTTCCATTAAGCAATCCTGTGGCAGATAGGAATTATTTCCACCGAAGAATACTGGCAACTTCTCTCCCAAAACACTATCATATAAATCCACCAGTCTTCATCGTTTTAGCTTTTGCACGACCATCCCTCGCATGTGCATCACCGCGTTCCCCCACTGACAAAGGCTTTACAATCGGATCGTTAGTGAATCCTCTAGATGTTTAAAATATGAAATTCTGCAGCAGGACTAGTGGACAGCTCCCGCGTATCTCCCCTCTCTCTACTCTGCATTCCTCGCAGCTTCTTGCGAACTGAATGCTTCAGTCAATAACACATCCTTAAGGTGAACAGGAGTATTACAGTCTGTTGTAGAGCAGGGCACCTCTTGTGAGGAGTAAAGCAATGCAGTCAACTTCGGTTTGATCAAGAAAACTTAATTAAAGCCCCGTGCAGGTGCAATAGCGTGCGCAATTAAAAGCAATTAGTGAAATTAACGGGAGAATCTGGTATACGTTGATTGAGTCGGTATTCTTCCTTTCCCTCTAAAGGGGAAGCTTAATTAACAATTGTGAGTTAAATGCAAAAATAACGTTTACATAGTGAATCCTTTCAATACTGCATGTTTTCAAAAATCAAACGGTTGATAAAATTTACCCGATTCAGTGTGCGTATATAGAGCAATTATGAATAGGTGCTGTAGACATTTTTCTCGTTTTTTTTCAGTCAGTAATCTAAATCGTTTGAGCTAGGATTTCAGTTTCTCCTTGGCGACGCGGGTTTTATGGTATGAATTATTTGTTCCATGCTCACGGCGAGTGCTTGATTGTAGCTTCGGCTTTGGAGTTAATGTATATCAAAAGGGCTTTTATACCATAAAGAAAAATACCGAGCTTCCTGAAAACGCAGCAACGTCAACGCACATACTGTAGCAGAATTGTTTATATACAGTAGCTAGTATCTTGAAGTAGGTTTCGCTAATCCGGTCTGAAAATGGTTGACTTTATATTACAACATTATTCGCGTCTGTTACAAGAAGGCTATTATTGTTGGTTTAATCGTTAAAAAAAACGTGTTCCTTTCCTTCACCTTGAATTAATACAGTCTTGATTTCATTGCACACAACAACTGTCAAGTCTCACCGGGGAACCCCAGCACTGTGTTTTTTAACAATTAACTGGGAAACGCAAAGAAACGGATTTTAACTCTGTACTCATGGTTTCTCTAAAAGGTAGAGATAAGGATCTGTTTCAATTTTACAATTGAAAGAAAGCCTTTAGGCTACTTGTGATGCGCAATGAATGCAGTAAGACGAGCTTCTATCTTTGAAACAGTACAGAAAGGTATTTTAAGACCACAGCCTATAGTTACAGTATACTACGTACACAACGGGTGATCAAAAACAGGCTCCTTCAAAAGCTGTAATATTAACTGAGTACACACGCCTGTTGTAAACTCAAGATTGCTGGTGCCACAGATGGTCGTGCGATTGAAAATTAGCTAATTTGGCACACTAGTTCAGACACAAAAAAAGTCGTGCAGGAAAACGACAGCACGGGGTTTGCTGTTCTGCTGTTCTTTCCTTCATGAGAAAGAATCTTATTCCTTTTCCATTTAGTTATAAAGTTAATCTAAAGGATAAAACAGCACAGAGTGCATAAACAACTTTAAAAGTAAGATGTTAAATATGTCAATGTACATGCACGTCTAAATGTGTTTTATGAAGCTCAACTTGACCGTGATAGTTTTCCTCATGTATAGCACGAATGAAAAATGTACTAGACATTTTATCGTTCATATTGCTGGAACTGTTTTATTAGCTGTACATTGATTTTGTTTTGATGTACTGTATACTTCTTTTTAGGGACCTAAAACCGTAATAAAAAAGCTAAGCAAGTTCGGCAGAGAGTTCAGTAAATCAATAAAGAGGTTTAATAGCTGAGCAATGGTAAGTATACCCGAAAATCACAAGATCCATGGGACCTGAAAAGACGGGCAAGCAAAGATGTTTCATACAGCAACTGGAGAGTTCGCATGTCGCTGTCCGTTCAGCACCACCACTCCATGGCGCAGGTTAGAGTAAAAGGTAAAGGTTACAGTAGTCAAATAATTAATTAATAATTATAATAATTGTTTACACTTATATAGCGCTTTTCTGGACACTCCACTCAAAGCGCTTTACAGGTAATGGGGACTCCCCTCCACCACCAGCAATGTGCAGCATCCACCTGGACTTTTCAGTGGAAGTCCTCTCTGTGTAGTTATCAAGCGTTTGGTATTATTGGGAATGGTACATTCATCCAATGGTTGTATTCGCTATACATTCTAAGTTAATCTTATGCCAAGAAGCTTTGACATAATCTGGGATCCAGGTGTCCAGTCATATTGGGTTAAATTGCCAGGACTACTTCAATGCAATATTTGAGTGCTTACCTTTCAACAGTTTTTTTGCTTACTGACACCAAGCACTTTCCCTGATATTTTCGATCCCTAAGCCATTTCAAATTCCTCTGTTAACAACAGTTTGCTTACAGGCACGATCAGGCACAGGCCCATGATGTTCACTTTCAGTTACAAAATGTTATTTACCATATAAAAAGATAACCCTTCTGAAACTTTCTTCTTATTTAAATGTGTCCTACACCTCCCACTTCCCACACCAACCCACACAAACACAGACACGTTTTTTCTCTTCTTTTAACTAAATACGAAGCACTACCACATTCTAACCCTCTGTTCAGATTCCTGAGGAGGAATCTCTTAAAAATATCTGTATTGTAGTGTATCTTGATGGTGTCTTTATCTTTCCAATGGAAGGACTAACTGAAATAGCTCTTACTAATTGTCAGACAAGTTTAGGAAATGATTTTCGGATTTCACACAACACATTCTTTTTTGAGAAGCGATGGAAATGGTTTTCCATAACAATAAATGTTATGTTGGCTCTAGAAAGAAGAGGGCTGTCAAGGGACTGGTTGAGAAGATAATGTCTTATTTTGTTCTGGGGGAAACTGGCAATAATCCTGTAATGGATGGTGTTTTCAGCAAGTAATTTCTTTGGAAATTGTGGTTTAATATCACAAAAGTCTATCAAAGACGTTTCTGGTTGTTAAACTTTAATAGCAGCAGTAAATGAAATCAGAGCTGGCAAAAGAAATTAGTATCTCAGCTAGATTTTTAATCAGAAAAAAATGCACACCACATAATAAATCCTAACATTTATTTTTTTAATTTAATTTATGCACAGCTGTGCATAAATCTACATTATTCTTCTGTTTTGTGTCGTCTAATCCATTGGACTGTGGCAGAGACGTGTATTTTTGATTGTTTGGGTGTTGCATGATAAGAACAAATAAATAATTAACAGATGGCCATAGCCAATGGGTGAATTGATTGCACAGTCTTACGATGAGTCTAACATTATCATTATGCATTATTGCTCAGATCTTATATTGATGTGGATATGAATGTTATCACCAATCTAAGTTGATCTAATTAAGACCTCCAAATCAATGTAAAGTAACCAGTTTCATTGTCAATATTATTAATGTAATTTGAATGTTTTTGTACTCTCTCACAAACATTAAGGAAAGACTAACTGCAGCACTGTTTGAACTACAAACTTTAACCTCACTTTTCTAATTTTCACATTTTCTATTTTTTCAGAATCTCTCTAAAGTACGCCTGCAAATCAGTTAAAGGATTTGATTCTAACCTGATTCACATACTTATTCATAACCTGATAAGTTAGAACCTGATTCTAAGCTAAAAAGCTATACACGCTCATTGATTATTGTTCCTGTCTCAATATTCATCTATTCAGATCTTTAGTTTCAAATGAGGCTATATCCTTGAAGAAAGGTGTTGAGGAAGCATTCCAGATTTTATTGGTCTGACGTTGCATACTTTTTCATTGCGAATAAGGCTTGTTACACTGTATGATTGACCATCTCAATCATATTAAAAACTGTTGCTCAATTTCAAAACTGATAAAAAACAGATGAAGTAGGCGATTGGCTACATCGATTTTCTTTTTTAAATAGTACTATACTGAGCTTCTAAATTTTTAGAAATGTGAGTACAACAGAGGGGAAAAACATTTAGAAATCTGACAATGTTTAGAACAAATTTGCAGACAATTCTCAGAAAACTACCAAAATATTAAATATTTTTCAAACTCTGATTTTAATTTGATCATTTTCAGGGTTCATTAGTCATATGTGTTGACTGATTTCATATATATATATCCATATGTCATTGCCTTTATCCTAATATGAGTCAATCTGGTAAAGCACAGCAAATAGAAATAATTGTGTTATGTTCCTATTACACACCCAATCAAGTATACACTTTCACTAGAAGTGTTAGAACAGTGCATAAGGGAGGATACTATGCATTTCACCTCAAATGTCACGTACTATACAAACAGTACATATATAGATGCACAAAATAAACCTGATAGTTATAATTAATCAAATCTTTTTTTTTAAATGTTATCAAATAAAACTATGGAAAATGTGAACCTAAGCACCCAGAGGATACCAGTGTAGACAACATGCAAACTCCACACAGATAGTGCCCATGACCACAGTCAAACCCAGGACTCAGTAACTCCCCTCCACCCACCTTACCACACTGCTTAATTAATATTCAAGTAAAATATCCAAATACACCACCAACTTCACTGACGTCAGGTGGCCCTTGTTTTCAATACCTGGCCAAACACAAGCAGGTCAACTTTTAGTGATGGTTAAATGTTTGAAACCAGAAAATAGCGCTTAGTGTCAGCATTGTTGACATACTGTACAGTATGGGCTGCATGATTATGTATTTATTTTCGCTCACATTCTATTTTGATAGGTATCTGCGCCACCAACATGGTCCAGATAGTATTTTCTCCTAGTGGTGAACTAAGGCCTATCAGCTGGGGAAAGGTTCTTTCTTGAAACATTTTATAATGTGGATGGAGTCATGAGGAGCCCCTACTGCCCCTATAGCCCCTATAGCTATATCACCCTGCAACTCACAACTGGTAACACACTGAAGCTAAGCGGGTGTGAGCCTGGTCAGTACCTGGATGGGAGACCTCCTGGGAAAAACTAAATTGTTGCTGGAAGAGGTGTTAGTGGGGCCAGCAGGGGGCACTAACCCTGCAGTCCATGTGGGTCCTAATGCCCCAGTATAACGACGGGGACACTATACTGTAAACGGGTGCCGTCCTTCGGATGAGACGTAAAACTGATGTCCTGACTCTCTGTGGTCATTAAAAATCCCAGGGCTTTTCTTGAAAAGAGTAGGGGTGTAACCCCGGCATCCTGGCCAAATTTCCCATTGGCCCTCACCAATCATGGCCTCCTAATAATCCCCATCTATGAATTGGCTACATTACTCTGCTCTCCTCCCCACTGATAGCTGATGTGTGGTGAGCGTTCTGGCGCACTATGGCTGCCGTCGCATCATCCAGGTGGATGCTGCACATTGGTGGTGGTGGAGGGGATCCCCATTTCCTGTAAAGCGCTTTGAGTGGAGTGTCCAGAAAAGCGCTATATAAGTGTAAGCAATTACTATTATTATTACTGTGCCCTGAAAAAATATCTAAATTTAAATAATTTTGAATATTTATTCAAAGAGCATTGGAATTAATACAAGGATTCAATGCACTGACAGTATTTTGCAGCATGTTTAGCTATTCACAGTATAAATCTTTCTTCAAAATGGTGTCTTGGGGATGAACCTACAACGAGATACTGAAGTGGAACCTCCAACTGTGCTGCCTCGGTGTTCTGCTGATGGAACTCAGAACACAGAGCATCTGAAACCTCCTTCAAAAGGCAGAGGGCCAGAAAGCATTTGGGAAAGAATTGTTGGTGGTAAGAAGTAAGGAAAGCTGGCTTTGTGCCATCCCTGTCTTTAGACAGTTCCAGAAAATACAACTCCTGCTGAATCGAGAAAGCTGAACATGAAGAAATAATCTACTTGCTAATTAACTGTAGTGGTGCCGGTACTGAATACAAGATGTGGAGATTTCAGACTCCCCACTCCTTGTGCAAGGCACTTCAGCAGAATACATGACGTCACTTTTTTGTGATTCATTCATTCATTCATTTAGGAAGAAAAAGCTCTCGAATCATGCTTAATGGAAAGATGTTCAGGATCAGGATGTTCAAGAGAGATGATTTTTATAGCCTTAATTATAAACGCATTATAATCAGACGATTGTCAATGAAATAATGAGGGAATCCAGGCTATTGTAAAAATTAGATACTGTAGAATGTTATCACAGCATACAGAAAGGTGAGTGAATTGAAACCTCTCTGGAGGGCAATGGTGTCTAGACAACAAATTAAACCAGAAATAGATCTTGACATCCAGAGAACTGGATATCTCTGATTCTTTGGAAGAAATTTTTTTTTAAAGATTTTTAAAATCTTCATTACTTTTATCTTCTGTAACTATAGATCACACATTTATTAATGGTTTATCTCCTTTCTCTTTCAAAATACACAGCTACTAGAGTCAGCACCTATAACAGGCAGACCTGTAAATATTACTGTCTCTATTATGTATTGATGTCCACTGTATAAATGAGATTTGATTTAATTTATATGCACAACTACAAAAATACACAATGGTTTCAAAAATTGCACCGTCAAATCTTATTTGCAGAAAATAGGTTAATTAAAGGAAGAAAATGTACATTTAGTGGTTTCTAACTAGTTCATGAATAAAAAAAACTCTATCCTAAAAACACAGTATGCTGTAATGCCAGGTCCTGCTATAGCCACAGTGAGGGTGAGGAGGATATGAACCGAGGAGCAGGAAGAATCAAAATTCTACCTTTGAAAATCAGAGCGTCACGTGTAAAGCTAGCGTTACCTTACTCTCCTTAACTTCATAAAGTTTTGAACTGGTAGCTAATAGCTCTAATATAACTAAAAACATGACTTGCAATGACATGGCGTACAAATCACAAGCCACATAAATATTTCAATGTGCACATACGTTCTTTGTTATTATAGACCGCCTCTTTCCCAGTTTCCCCAGTTATCACGCATTACTCGGTGTGGCCTTGACTTCAAATGACAGTTGCACTTGGTGCGAGTTCGAAATGTGGGACAATCCATTGAACATCTGCCTCGCCTAAAGTTTCTGCCAGCAACTCTCAACACCAGCTCCGTTGGGGCTGAGAAACCTGGCACATGGAGGTACTTGGCAGTCAGCACTGCCAATGAAGGGTACTGGGGTGTGTGGCTCTTCCAAAAAGCAAGGGTTCGGGTCCCTTCTGGGAGGCCCGGGGCAGTCAGGCAGCCTTTCTGTAGCAGGAGGCCCCAATCTGAAGACCAGTTTGATTTTGCCGATAGGCAAAACCTCCTTGCAGGCTAGGAAGGTGGTGGTGCACACCTGGCGCACTCCTGCAGAACAAGAGCAGCAAGTGTCTGGAGCTGCTCTGAGCACACTGCAGCCCGGCTGTGTGGATCCAGCAGAGCTGTCAGCGTTCAGCGAGGCATCTGTTTGTAGGGGGAGAGGGAATTCTCTGGAGCTGCCTTGAGGGCAGTCAGCAGCTGGTCTCTGCGCTGTGTATAAAAGCTGCTCTGGAGTTTCCAAGCCCTAACCCTAACCCAAGTCCAAGGATTCTAGGAATGACACAGCTGGCACGTGCCAAGTTGAATCCCAGGTGTGGAGAGTAGCATCCTCAAACATCTGCAAAAAGGTTCATCAGGACTCTGCAATTCTGTCTAGATGATCTATACTGGCTGCCCTTTAACACAGAGCTCCTTGAAGGCATCTTGATCTGCTCTCCAAATACAGGACATGAGCAAATCAGGCTTCACAATGGAGGAGAAAATCAAGGATTTCCCGAACCCTAAATGCTCTCCTATACAGTATGAGCACCTCCACTTTCTGATTCACAGCCCCAAACATCCACCTCTGGAAATGGGGCAGTTCAAATTCTTTCTTCATATTAAACCTCGTGCTGGCCAGCAGGTGTCACATGGTGCCTTTTCTCATTGTGGATGAAATGGCCTGTGATTGACACCCGCTGGGTGCAGAGGGGAAGACTGAGGAGGTAGGATTTTTACCGGGGTTCTACAGTTTGGAACATTGCAGCTCGCGTCCAGCGACTCTACAAAATGATTTCTGAAAAATGGGACATTCAGGGTGACGGGAGAATGAAAGTGTCAAAAGTGACAAGGATGTGTTAAACTGAACTTATTCGATGCAGTGAACAGTGTGGGAAGGCCATCAGCATCAGAATTGTCAATATCCATGGGAGAACGATTCTGAAAAATTGATACAACTCTGAACACATGCAAATAGTCCTAAACACTGATCAGCCACTTTCTGAAGAATGCCTTTACCCTACTTAAAAGGGATAGTTTAAAAGGTAATTGCTGAGTATTTCCTAAATGCAATACAATATTACTTCAAACTGATGCTGCCGTGTCAACCTGGTGGAGCTCTTCAGAATCAGTGAAGGAAGTAGAGACTACATAAAAGTGCATTCAGACCCGATGATTCTTCACTCAAAGAGTTATGCGTGTGTGGAAAAAGCTACCCAGACAGCTTTTTCTGTTAAACTACCCAACAGGCTAGATGGGCCCAAAGGCTTCCTGTTCTCTAACTTTCTTTTAACAAAGCTTCTTATATGCTTTATATTATAAGATGAACTACCTCTCTTGTACCTGCGATTGCTGTCCATTAAATAGCCGCAATTTCCTACCTGCTAAGGTGCTACAGGTTGCACAATATTTGAATCTTCGTTCATTTGCATTAAACTTTCCGTTAAGTATTTAGCAAGATGGCGTCATAGAAAGTCCCACGGCAGATGTTCGGTATCGGGAGGGTTACGTTAAGTTCGTATTCTGAAGTGCTGTATTCTAGTTAAACTTAACCTTTTAAAACACAGCTCAAAAAGCGCTGAGGCGTTGTCTGTTTTTTATGTTCACTGAATACATTAGACTGTTATTGACCATATTGCTCTTGGTGTCAGTGACGATTTCATAGTTTATTCTTTAATTAGGCCATTGCTATTTAAATTGCCGTAGGTGTGTACGCAAAGGTGTAGCAATTAACAGTTAACGACTTCTTGTGTTTTTTTTTCCTAAAACGTCAGGTATCTGGTGTGTGGATGTCTTAAAATGAACGCTGAATGAGTAGATGCTATTTAAGATGCGATTTGGGTGTGTTGTGTTGTGTTGGACTAACTGAAGGAAATAACGTTTTTTGTTCCTTTCTATATAAGCGCTTACATTTAACGTACGTATTTTTGTTATTTGATATTAGTTTGGTATGTTTTGAAGAAACACACGCGACAGTATTATTTTATTGCTTTTGACCAGGGTAGAGAGTCCATTCAATATGAATAGATACGTGCTTAACCAGAGCAGAACTGCGGTTATCGCTGTTTTCAGTCCATCTGGAATAAAGTCCTTGATTTTTGCTTTTGTGGAGATAAAAACTCAGAGAAGTTCGTGACGTTATTGATCGTTTTTCATCTTGTAAGACTTCAAGTTACTTATGTTGACAACTAACACTAAACAAGTACCGATTTATTGTTTTTGGTAGCGAAAATATTTTTAGAAGTACCATAATTCTTCAAACAAACAAAAAAACGAGAACCGTAGTAGGAAATGCAGTTAAGCTTTTGCAGTTTCAGCAGTATGTGCAGCTGCGACAGGCTGAACTTCAATGGTGGACTTCTGTTTTCAAATTACTTCGGGATTGTTTATATTGTGCTTTAAATCAGAAACAGTTCTTGCAACGTTCTGAAGAGGAATTGATGTATTAAGGCTGTAAATGGATTTTGAAAGGTTTGTCGTCCTATTTTGAATATTGTTAACGGGATTTAAGCTCATCTGTTTCCCGGGTTGTGGAATAGTGGCCGTGGTTTTTTTTATATATATTGACAGCGTTCATTTTGACGTTTATTCTTTTGATCTTTTCTTTTAAACTTAGAATTTCCTGATTGTGAGAAACATACTTTTTAAAGAACAGTAACATTCACTGGGTGTTGGAATGTTGTGGTCTCTCTGTACAATCTGTGGGCTGGCTAGACCTCAGCTTACCCTGTATTTCCTGCTAAATGTTATGAATCCCTTGTTTACATGAAGCAGAACTGCAGTTTGTTAAATGTGTGCAACTAATAAAGCAGGGGAATTTTCCAGCTAGATGCTATTTTTTTAATACTCTATTTCTTTTCCCTTTTTTCTTACTTTCTCCTTCAAGTCATGCCTAAAAGAAAAATATGTTATTCAGAAAACTCTAACAAACAGCCGAGGCATCCGGTGATGGAAAATGCAAGGCTACTACGGGGAAGAAGGATATCCCTGGTGGAGGTATAGTGGGAATTACAGTCTAATCTTTCTGATCCCAAATCTATTTTTTCTGTACTTGTAGGCTTGGTCCACTCCACTTTCATTTTATTGCAAGGTATTTATACAGAGCATGGAAAGATGTTTGTCGCATGCAACTACAGCCATGTCCGTTATGTTTTTTTTTTTTACAAAATGACAAACTTTGTAACGGATGAACTGCCGTTCGCCTGGACACTCCAATCGCCAGTCACTGCTAGCAGCGTGTTTGACCCTGTTGAACGTGAATTTGAGATGTGTGCTTTTCGCCGGGTTGCAGGTTGCTGTCTGGGGTGATTCTGTCCCATTTGTTATGTCGTGCCCCTGCAAGCATGAGTCCCTTCCTGCTGCAATGTTGTCGTGTCGGGACGAGCATGCTTGAAGGTCATCGACTGGGGTCACAGCACTTGCTCAGCATAGAGCCAGGCAGTCAGATTATTTACAGTACGAGTCCTGTAACCAAAAGATACACCTGCCCAACACAAGTGTGAGCCTGGTCAGTACCTGGATGGGAGACCTCCTGGGAGAGTTAAGGTTGCTGCTGGAAGAGATGTTAGTGGGTCCAGAGGGTCCTCCTGCCCCCAGTACAGTGATGGAGATACTATACTGTAAGAAAAAGCACCATCTTTTGGTTGAGATGTAAAACTGAGGTCTTAACTTTCCATGACCTTTTAAAATCCCTGGGTGTTTCTCGTAAAGAGTAGGGGTGTATCCCTGCTGTCCTGGCCAAATTTCCCCCTATCCTTTACCAGTCATGGCCTCATAATAAGCCTCCATCTATGAATTGGCTTCATCACTCTGCTCTCTTCTCCACTGATCGCTGGTGTGTGGGGAAAGTACTGGTGCACTTTGGCTGCTGTCTCATCATCTGGTTGGATACTGCACATTGGTGGTAGTGGAGGAGAGCCCCCATTACCTGTAAGGGCACTTTGAGTGGAGTACAATACAAGTGTAAGGAATTATTAACATTGTTGCTGTTGTACATGTGCACCACACTTGCTGATGTCCATCAGGGTGGTCTGCGCAGTAGCTTGAGACATCTGCCAAAGAGTTGACGGTAGCACTTTCGGACTTTCACCAACCCACAGCTGAGGCCTTCTTCAAGCAGAGAGGTGGCACGAAGAGGCTTCTCTTCATACGTAGAGAATGTTGTCTCCTATCGGTGTTTTTCCTTCCCCAACCCACCAGGCCTCACACTCCACTGTCAGTTCCCAAATACATTTTTTTTTTCCCTTTTGAAAAAGGGGGAACCCTTTCTTACCTAAATGTCCATCTTGTTTTTTTTCCTCAGATGCATGAATTGATTAAGCAGGAAACGAATGCGGTTTCAAAGCTGTCTGAGAGTAAGATGGAGGAGCTGATGGAACGAATTCAAAAGGTCAACTGCAGGCCCACTCATGAGATTCTGATCAACAAGATGCAAGTCAGTGTTTTGGTTTATGTTTAAGGTCTTCCTCTGCAGCTGATGCATATGAAAACAAACACTGCACATGAAACACTGCAAAATCATCTCTTACTCAAGCCTGTATGGACTGCACAGTTTCATAATACAGTACATTCATTAAAATGGCTTGTATTGTGAGTGGATAACAACTCACATCTTGGAGAGCCTGAAGGGTTCTGGTTTTCTCTCCATCTGAGCCCTTTGTTACCTACTGTAGCTTTTTTTAGCTTAACTAGACAAGTGCACACTGGCACTTTGCAAGAGGAGGTTTGTCCAGAGCTTTACCAATACTTAATACCAGCAAGAAAATCATTCTTTAGTGGAGTTTCTCAAAAGAGTATCTGTGAGCATTGGATTTTTTTTTTTTCCCTGTTGCTTTCATGTAATCTTATGTGTTAGGATGTAGGCTGTTACCTGGGACCCGTAGGACTTGAGTGCTTCACTTTGAGTTCTCTGTTCCTTAGACGTTTAGAAGTCATTTAGCCTAATTAAGATGGCAATATGTTTCATGGGCTCAATTGGAATGAAATGAAAAATCCTATAACTCTAGAATCTGGATAGGATGCTGCTAGTTCAAAGGCAAACAATTATTTTGCAGTTAGGTGCTCTGGAACACTATTTTCTGATGACTTTCATTTCCAGGCTAAAATTAACAGAATAAAGAAGAGGTTGCAAGATGCTCTGTCTGCTGTGATCAGAACGCGATCAGTTAATCCTACAGTTTCACCAGCCTTTGTTCCAGACAAGGTAGTTTTTTTTTCCCAGAACTGTAAATGACCATAGCCCTAAACCATTGTTCCATGTCACAACGGAGTTTGAAACCGAACAAAGCTTTAAGACCCGTCGCTGATTATTTCTAATAAATTATTTTTTAGACTCAGGACTAAAGTAATGGTATGACCAAAATCTCAAGGAGGAGAAATTAAAGATTGTGCAAACACTGACTCATTTTGAAGGCTTTGTTGTAAACAAAATGAGGGCTGACTTTAATTTACAATTTTCTGAGGTGGGTCATTTCCAGTCTTTTTTTTTATTGCCTAACAAACCCCTTTTGAAATGGGGTGGGAACTGACACTAGTTAATAAACTGCGAAATCGATTTCAGTCCTAGGTCCCTAGTCGGTGAACTACAACTTTCTTTCATGTGCTTTAGGATGTGCCTGGTATTTTGACCTCTCTCAATCTGTTGTAACTCAGCAGGTCAGCAGCAACCTGTCTGCACCCAGCACCCTGGATCGCTGTGTCCCCTGCACTGGTCCTGCACAAGCCTTGGTGTCCCAAGCCAGTGGGACACGTCCCACCAGTAGCCCTGACTGCATCACAATTTCAGGGTATTTTCAGAACCCCCTTTGTTTTCAGCTTGAGGTTCCAGTCTAAACATTTTGTTTGAAGCTGCCATTCCAAAAGAGAGGTTTTCAATGTATTGCTATGCATGTACTGTATTGTCTTAACACATTAGTATGTCATTTTGGATATTGCAGACTAATCGGAAAACAATGCCAAAATGCTAATTTATCATTCCTAACCCACTGTGGTATTCTGTTTTGTAAGCTCTAAATTGGCTTTATTTAGTGAAAGCTGATTGGGCACAAATGATGAGCTGATTTAACCTGCTGAATGTAAAGTGGTGAAAACCAAAAGAAAAAAAAGCAGAAGGGACCCATATGTTTCTCTTCTAAACAGAACAGTGCCTTCATGCCAGTGGTTTGTGAAGGCTGAGCCATGTCGGCACACTTGCTTGCTATCTGTTGTGTTTATACCCAGGAATTTGTACCCTGACTAGATGTTAGTCTGGTAATGATCAGCCACACTCTGGGTGACCAAGAGTCAGGACTCTTTACCTCACTAAAAGTGACACATCGTCATCCTCCATCTTCATTTCTGCACTCCCAGTTCCATGGAATTACAGGTTTCAGGTCCGGAAACGTGCACATCGGCTGTTCAGGACTAAGTAAGGAGCTATAGAACACAAATACAATTTTTTTGTATTTTTTTCTGGAAAATAGGTCAGAGGTCATAGCCAAGATTATCGTAAAGGTCATAATGCTTTATAGAGCCAAAAGTCGGGGCACCTGGGGGAAAGCCAATTGAATGTGTGGAGGACAGACAAACTCTGCACAGATAACATCCCAGGGCCCATGAATTACAGTCTACAGATAAACCTATCTCATAAATTGTTTGAGGTTTATATTGGGTAAAAATACCATAACATTTTCCTGTTAGCTATTTCCCTCACCCCCCACCCCTGGTGTGCCTTTTAAGAAAAAAAAACATGGTTTCTTTAGGGCTGCTCATAAGCATTGCAGCTTAGCATGAGAAATATTTTACAAATAGACCACAGTGCCATCTACTGTATGTATAAAGAGTTTTTAATTTGTAAAGAAACCTTCTGGTAATCTATCAATCTTTTAAATCTTTAATACATTTTCCACCTGGTTCCTGTACGTTCTTAAGCAGAGACAAAAGGATTAATAGCCTTTTAGGGTGACTCTTAAATATTTAATAACTAGTGAGGGTTACTGTATTCCTTAGTAGTGCATTAGTTACCGTACAGAGCATTCTCTCCATTCTCTCACACCCGGAAAAGTTGCTTAAATTCCAAAAGGGATTACAATTATTTAACTAACTTTTTTTGTTCTTTCATTATAACCTTCTCCCTCTTAACTTTACTCTGTATTAGAAATCGAACATCAATTGCTGCTAATTGTAATGTAATGCCTCAGACTTTCTTGGCATGTATGGTATGACAGTTTTGATTTAAAACCCTTAACTGCTATACTTTGTAAGGTACCTTAACACAGCTATACAATATACTCTCTTCCTGTAGCTTGATGATAGATTAAGCTCCCAAATCACTTATTTAACACATCAGGTATTTAACTTATTTTATATCTTTAAATGTTATTTTACTTTAGGACTCCTAAAGCTCAAAAGCATGGCCGTACATCCTGTGAGACCGTATCAGCAGAGTGTGTAGTAGCAGTAGACTCGGATTCAGGTAAGTGTTTTTTTTTTCTATACCTGCTTTGTCTGAGAATTGCAGTGTATTTGAGTGTTTCTTATAGATATTGATCTGTGCCCTCATGTTTTTAGTTCTGATTAGGTCTTAAAATGATTGACATTAAGGCCTTGTAAGTCAACTTCTATACCTTTTCCATTTTAGTCTTTTAACAATTTAACTATGGTAATCCAATAAATCAATTCCTTCACATTTCTGCCACTTTACACTCAATTCCTTACAATGGAGTTTTCATAGCAGGTTCATTTGAGGCATTGGTGTTAAATGGTACTGTATAGATGGAATGCTCATTGTAGCAGATGTGAAGCATGTTTTTGGAGTTTATCCTCTGGTTCAGTTTTCCCTTAAAGTTTAGCAGTGCAAAAGCAACTTTTCACAAATACATTCAAAAGTAAAAGAAACCAAGCCAGTTGGCTAGTACCTGATGCTCTTTTTTTCTTGGTCAATTCACACTTGAAGTATTATAAAATACTGAGCACCATTATTTCAGCACATGTAAAAGCAGGCATTTTAATCTCCATTTGTTGGGGGGAAAAAAAGTTTGAAATGAAGCTCTCTTAATAAGGGTGTAGAAATGAGTCATTGTTTAAAGGGAGGGAAAGCTACATTTAGCCAGCACCCGCATAAGTGTCTGATTCAGGTGATGTACTGAACAGCTGAAGAAATGTATCATTTTAGTCATGTGTATTTTTAACAAGCAGATGGGGTACAAGTGATGAGGTGATTTAATCTGATGAAAGGGATCAAAATTGCATCACCTTGGGTTGACTTGCCTGCAGTGGAGTCGTATCTCTTTAGCAGTGAATCAAGAATTTGACCACCCTGACCCCTGAACATTGGCAAGTGTGTGCACGTACTAACTAATCTGTGCAGCAGACTAATTGATAGGGGAAGATCAATGGTAGTCATCTAGTGAGGAGTATTTAGTTGGACTTTATATATATATATTGATGTATGGCAACCTGTGGGTATGTTACTACACTGATCCAGTCTTGGGACCTCACTGCTCCCCTTCCTGACATGACAACACCCATCCTGCTGTTGTGTAAAATGAGAACCGTTATACCATGGACGCTGGTTTTGCCAGTTTTGAGCCCCATTAAACGTGTGGGATGAGTTGGAGCATCTAGGGACTCGGAGACATTTGAACAGGCACATGCTTATCCAGGCTCTTCGAGAGGAAAGGAGATGGACTCCCACGAAGACAACATCTGCCATCTGGTCCAAAGCAGGCAACACAGATGTGCAGCTTGTATTGTTATAGTATATTTATATAGTTACATGCTATACTAGGAGCCTGGAACTTAGATCTCCTGTTGCTTAACACTCTTGATGACAAATGTTTTATCAATATAATGAATTTAACAATGTCATAACTGTATAATACAACAACAGTGCACCTGCTACAGAAAAGAACTGTGAATTTGTTGCAGTTCTAAGAAATGCTTTTCATACATGCTATCTATATTGTCCATTTGCTGGATTTACTAGCATTCTGGCCTGTTTGTTGCCTTTTGCAATCTGACTCTTAACGGATTCACAGCTTTCTGAGGGCCGCAGATTTGTGTTATCAAGTTTCATCTGCCCTTTTTTTTTTAAAACTGCTTTTTATCCACAGAAAAGGAGAATGAGGTTATGTTTTGTGGAGTTATACCAAGTAAAAGGCTGACCGGGAGTGTTGCGCAGAAGCAGGTAGTTGTGGTTTTTTGGAATTGCTCTTCCCCGAGTTGTGGATATTCTTAGAAATTGTTTTAAGATGTTGTATACCTTTCTACGTACCTTTACAATATTATCCTCTTTCAACTCTTCAGTTGTTTGTGGGTTTTTTGTTTTTCCTAACGCCCTTTTTTTTCCCGGAAAGACATGGAGAAGCAGTGACTTGGGGTTCACAGACTTCACAGCTGAAACTGTAGCAGGTACTTTGGGGGTTCTTCCCACAGTTCTGATGTTCTTTCAAACTACAACTTGACTGCAATACTCTGCTTTATTATTTAATTAATATTGTAGTTTGTTAGCGGTTAAATACCACTCATAATCACTGCAGAAAAAAATGTCATGTATGAGTCCTGTCATTTTAATAATCTCAAGTATTGAAGGAAAAAGGGATCTCAACACCCACCCATTTTCATGAAAGTCAGTTAGAATATGTTGGTTCTACATATGCAAGTTTCATGTGCTTGTGTTCATTTTCTTAATGTGCCCATTTGCCAGCTGACTCAATGCAAGCAAGTGACGCAGAATCTACAGGGATGTTCCAGATCGAAATCCAAGTATGTTCCTTTGAAGCCTCACTTTCAGTAGTTTTGTTGGCAGCATGCACATGTATGGGACTGGGATAAATGCACAAATACTGCGGCACTGCAAAAAAGGACTTATGCAAGGTACTATGCAATCGATTACTGAGGCAAACCTTGGTGATGAAACCTTGATGCTTCTAAAAACTTGTCAGATGTCCTAGCAAGCTGCAGTCATTTAATTGGGTGTTCTGAGTCTGCTGGCATTACTGTCTGTAGGAAATGGAAGAGAAACTCATCCTTGCATGGTGACGAAGCACCCAAGAGTACTTTACACGTGTTGTAACCAGCAGGCTCTGGTATCCTAGTGATTAGATGTGTTTTGAATGTTTTTGTTTGAAAATCATTAAATGCTGACCTGTTGGGCTTTTGTTTCAGGACTATGCTGGGAGACCAGATCCTTTACCTTCAGACCAAGCCCCTGAAGCTGATCCTTCTAACCCTATTCAGTGTAATATGGAGTGTTTTCCTTTTTTAACTGGAGCATCTCTTGCTGGCGATCCTCACGGCCCCGAGTTTAAATTTAGTCAATTCAAAGACTCTCAGTGCTGTATCTTTATTTAAGCCAGCGATCCTTAGAAGCTGCAGAGGTGCTCAAGGTGGAGCTCAGTTTTGGTACATTTCTATGTACCTTTTAATGTGGCTTTAGCTCAAGGCCCTACTTGTTTAACAGAACTGTGCTGTCTTACCTTCACTAAAACCTTTTCTTTTATCTGCAGCACGTACCATGTTCCCAGAAAGACTGAAGGCATGTAGTGTGAACTCCACTGTGACACAGGAATTAACAGCTCAGGTAATGATTGCTGCTGGAGATGTACTGCATTCATAAAAGGGGGAAAAAAAGGAGCACAAATGTGATTTTGGCAGGTTTAAAGCCATTGAGGTTATGGCTTTACACGTAATGAATCCGTTCTTTACAGAAAGATACTGCTATGGTTGTTATTATTGCAGATTTCAGAGTACTTGGGATCTGCTGTGACATCGTATCCAAAATCAGCAGGTTTACCAGATCAGCCTATCGAGGCTGCCAATGGCTCTACTCACCAGGGTAAGTCTGAAGGTTGTTTAAATTTGATCAGCTATTTTGTGCAGGATTTTGTCTTTTTATATTTAAATACTTATGTAAATCTTGATCAGCAGGATGTGGGCAGCCCTCAGCCCCAGGGAACATCGAAGTAAATGCTTCAAAGTTCACTGTAACTAATTTACTTCCATTTCAGGTAATTGCTAGTCTGTTAAACTGTTCCAGTGATGTATTATGTACTGTATTCAGTATGAAGTTGCTTTATACTTTGCACTCTGTTAACGAATTGAAATGCACTCTTGTATTTTGCAGGATCCTTTGCAATCTCAATTCCCTCCCCTTCCTGAGACTGCATTTCCTCTGAATCTGCCTTCCATAGCTGCTAGGACAAATTTGCCTCAAAAGCTAGAGCTGAAAGTGGCTAGAATCAGAAACCCCAAAGGAATAGGTGTGCTGTGGAATGTAGCACACGTAGACCCCAAAGCTGCTCCTGTTCACAGCTATTATTTATATGTTCTTCATGAAGACCTGAATGGCTGTATGTCAAGTTGGAAGAACATCGGGATAATATCGGCCTTGCCACTACCGATGGCTTGTAAGCTGAATCGGTGTGCCCCGCAAAGGAGGTATTACTTTGCAATCGTTGGAAAGGATATTTATGGGCGCTGTGGACCATACAGTGAAGTATGCTCAGTCACTGTTCACGATATGTGAATGAGTGTGTGAAACTACACACCGCACAGTCATATCAAACACGCATGTTAAAATTGTTTGAATTCTCTAAAGCAAAAGATTGCTATTCCCGTATGTTAAACTTGAAGTAGTGAAGACCTTTATTTTTATTTGATCTTGTCTGACTTTATTAGCTTCACTTTTCAAAGCCCTTTCAGTTTAACATGGGATCTTTTTTTGTTTTTGTTGCTTGAGGCTTTGTATCTTTTGAATTTTATCTGTTATTAATCATTTTTGGAAAGGTTTATTTAAATGATCACAGAGCCAATGTAGATTTATAATGAAAATCCCTGGCTGCAGGTTTCTAGGCAGGTGGGACTACCATTTGAAGTGTTACTGTATATCTTCAGTTTGTGTGGGGGAATTGCATCTCAGTATAGCATTTTCCTTATACAGTACATTACCTGAGTTACTTACAATTTCTATTATTCTTGCTTAGAAAAGCTGAAAATGAGAATACTGCATCGGGGTCTATTGTACTGGCATTTGTTCAATCTTAAAATCATTCAATAATGTATTTACTAGAGGTAGTTCCATACTTTCCTTAAGCTGTGGAGGCAAAGTTTTACATTTTGATCTGCAAGTTTGCAAAGGAATCCAGATCTATTCATCTTCCCAGTAAAATAAGCACAGGAATTAAATGGACTGCTCTCCACTATAAATGAAATTACAGAGTACACCCTGGAGTGTGGGGATAGGTATTATTAACACAACTATCGATGGTGGTTATTTCCCCATTTGTGCTCATTATTCAAGTGTTTGGAAGATTTTTAAAAGCCCATGAAAAGGAAGAGATGGGGGGGAAAAATACACACAGATTTTCACAATGGCTTTTGAGGAAGGTTAGAATGCCAGGTGAAAATCTTTTACATGTTACTGTAGTTTTAGGCCCATAACTCAGTTACTGTTGGACTCGCTCTGTGAAAACAAATCATGCACGTTTGAGAGGATTCTCTACCAGTTATTCTTATTACTATTGTAGTGAATGGTATTAAATTAGAGCTACTCCTTCTCTACAACCAATGCAAAAAGAACCCAGCAAAACCAGTAAAGATCTTGAACCTCTGCTCAAACTAATTAGGAAATTGTAACTTTTTTTGGAAACAGAAGTCCAATGCCCAAACCACGTTCCACTCGTTGTTGCAGGTCTTTACATTTATGGTGGTAACATTCACCTTTGAAACTTGTTGGCAATTTACCCTCTGGTGATCGTCAACTCGAAGGAGTGAAATCTGTTTTTGAAATGGCTAAGCAAAGGGGTTGTTTACAACAACAGCCAGGGTTGTGGGCCTGCTTTGGGTTCTGGTATGTCCTTATCACATCGTTAATTACAACAGATTGGGCACTACCAAGATGGTCTACCTGATCTCCATTTCTTAGTAATAATAGAGCCTTAAGGTTTGCATTGCATCCTAAGCTGTTTAATGGGCTTACTAAAACCATGTTATTTTCTTCTAGATCGAAAGCAGGTAATTTATAGAAAGACGAAGCCTGGAGCCAAAGGAATTTAAGGGCAGGAGCTGAAGAGTAGTGCTGTAGTTCTCCTATTTCTTCTGAGCTGCCAGAGATCATTTATGCTCCCTCAGGACCTGAAGAGGTCCATGGTCTTCTGCTTTCCATTGCAGTTGAGCTCTTGAATGCTTAATCGAATCTACTGGGTTGCAACTTGCTTAAATTACCACTGTGGCCAGGTTCTGTTGTGAGAGTTTTAAAGTTCCCACTCACCCTGTGCATTCAGGGGTCTCTAGGACCACAGCTGTGTCGTGGTACCTTACAGATGGGTTCAGATTCTACCTTGTTCCAATTTGTTTTTACTGTTCTGTTTAGATTTCTTAACCAGTTTGTTCCTGTGAAGAGGTGACAGAAAAATGGGGTTGGAGCTATGGTACTCATTCTCTGATTATACTTTTCTGAAGAAAGCTGTTTTGCTTCTCATTAGAGCTAAAAGTTATTTTAAATCAGAAAGTAGAAAATAGATATAGGCTTCTAAAACATCCAGTACTTTATTTCAGGCATAGAAATGTGTACATGACAATGGTAAATGTTTTGCAAGAAAGGTAAAATCCAATCTTAACATTTAAGAGATTTTTTTTAATGTAAAAATACACTTCAGTTGATCCATGTACACGCTGAACCTTGTCCAGGATTCTATGTCAGATTCTGCTGCAAAAATCCACATTTGAATCAGTTTTAAGACCCAAAGCATGAAAAGCTGCCTTTATCATTTAATTCCAAATATAAAAGTCCTTTGGTATATATCAATACATTTACTTTGTACATATTATAGTAAAAAAAACTCAAGCAAATAACACTTCATTAAAAAGGATCAACAGCAGAAGAATGTCTTAAGTATAAAATAAATACAGCTTCAGTTTAACTTTGGCCTTATTCAGAATTGCATGCTGTTTTACCACTTAAAGGAAAAAAAACTTGTTTACTAAGAAACCCAAATATAATTATCCTAACTGCTGTGGAGGTTAAATTCCAACTATGTCAAATAAAACTGAAATTTCTTGTTTTAAACTATTCCAGGATTAAGTCAAATACCTTTTCGAATGAAGCAGTGCTCTTATTTTTTTTTATGGAACACAAACAACAGAACCAAAGTGCTCCCATTCAAACAGAATCAAAGTGTCATTTGGCAGACCTGGCAGAAGAACAGGGCTTCCCTCTTCGAGTACAGATAGCGATTTGGATGGGTCCTGTGATCAAAGCCTGCCATGCAAAACATGGTTTGTTTTACACCATTTCAGTGATAAACATTTTGTTGAAGAGTCACAATCCCTCTCACAGGAAAAAAAAAACACTCAAGTTTTAGTACATTGAAAACCCAGGACTAATAACCCTCCCCCTTTTAATCTCGTAATACAAAAAAATTAAATTTACATGGTTTACTTTTCAAGTTAACTTCATGCTCTGCAAGTGTGTGGGCATGTCTGCTCCTTTGAGGTTTCTTAAAGGTTGGCACAGAGATTTTCTTAAATCCAGAAGCACTGTCTCCCCAATTGTACTAAAGGCTGGTGCTCTTTTGCTACTGGTTAAGCAAAAATCCGAAAACGGGGTGGCAGTCGTTCAATGTTAGTGAGATTAAAAAAAAGGCAATTTCACAACTTGAAAGCATCAAGTGCAAGCCGTCTTAGCTTTACAGCTGTCTAGTGGTTTAAACATTAAATAGATGTCTTTTAAATGAAGCCTATTTAATTTGTTTTCAAGTCTACACACCCTGACAGAACTCCAACTATTAAACCTTTTTATCACAGCATACATGGGTTTCACCAAGAATAGGGTTAACGTTGATATACTCCTCCGAACAAAAAAAGGGTTAGAATTTCTACACATATATAATACCATTCCTAGTTCTAGATAGGTTTCCAGTATGCTACTGTTAATAATTCTTTTACAGTCTTAGTATTTCTTGGTATTTTTTGCTAAGTCATATTAAAAATAAGATTATATACAAAATGCATCCCATCAGCTCTGGTTTCGGGTGGGGGCAGTTGCAGGGAGACTAGGGGCTGTTCTCATTCATTTGCGCTTCCTCAAAACCAGATACATCAAGCCACTGACGAGGGTGAGAGGAAAAGCAATCCAGGCTAAAACAAAGGAGTAGCCATAGTCGCCCTCGCGCACGCTGTCTTCGTGGAAGCTCTCGTGCTGAGCCGCGTAAATGGACGCGCCGATCATCACACAAAGCGCTGGAAAGACAAAAACGAAAGAACGTGGGCACGCGTCGCTCGTTTTGGGCCCTCTGAACAACACTTTCCACCCGCTGGCAAAATGAACGAATGGCGCTGTTCTACCCTTTTCCAAAGAGTGGAAGCGTAAGGACGTTGGCAACGAGGCTAGGTTCCCGCTGGAGAGGATAAGAGCTCACTGGTGAAGCAAGGGCAAGGGAAGCAGCGGAGCAGTAGCTCTGTGGCTAAGGATCTGCGCCTGTGGCTGGAAGGTTGCCAGTTCAAATACAGTCCACTCCAATCCTTAAGCCCGCTTAAACCACTGCTACGTTCATTGAAACATTACTTGCTCAAACCAGCGACTAAGACCACTGGCCGGCAGAGGAATCTTACTCCGTTGGGCCCCTGAGCAAGGCCCTTAACCCCAACTGCTCCAGGGGCGCTGTACAATGGCTGACCCTGCGCTCTGACCCCAAGCTTCTCTCCCTGTCTGTGTGTCTGTGTCTCTCATGGAGAGCAAGCTGGGCTATGCGAAAAGATAATTCATAATGCAAGAAATTGTAAAGGGTTAATAAAGTGATATTATTATTATTCTCTGCTGGGACCCCCTACCCCAGAGATGGTGACACTTACCAGACAAGAGCTGGATGACGGCAGTGAAGACAAATCGTTCACCCTGTTTCAGACGGAAGAGCTGCAGTATGAACACGAAGAAGGCCACACAGCACAGAATGGTGGATAATATCATGGTCGCCTGGACAGCCTGGAGGAAACCTGCATGGGGGAAAACAAAACAATTTCTCCTTCTGAACTAGTTCGATTAAACTGCACCCCTGTTCCTCACCACTCCATTAGTACCAGTGCTGCCCCTGGATCCCGATTTTGTGGGTGGTAGCTCCAACGTGGAGTCTCGTACAACCTTCTAAAGTTGTTTAAGCATCGCTTTATCCTGAGCAATAGGTAAAGACAGCTTCCTGCTACTTTCCAGCTTTAATCTCCCAGTATAAAGGCAAGAGTGTATCCTGGAGCACAAGATGTGTATTGCTATGTAGTTTAATAAAGATAATGGCACGTTGACCTAAAGGAAATGAATTGAAATCAAAGCTTTACAACAAATGTTACCTGCAGCAGCAGTGCTGCTGTCCTTAATCGGTTCACACGTGACATTGCAGATCCTCCACAGATCAGTATAGACGTCTTGGTGTACCCACCAGGCCTGAAGAAATCAAGAAAAATTAGAATTGCTCTGGCCTATTGCAGCCAGAAGGTCACAGAGAACTTTTCACAAAGTCAAAGCTCCACCTTTTTCAGAAGGAAGTAGTACGATGTGGTGGAAGCTCTTTTTTTGATTTATGCTTCAATGAAGGACACCTGCTTGAGTTTCCTTGAAATAGACAGTAGATTGTGCACTATCCCTGAGCTCACGACACCCTAATGGAATTCACTGTGTCGCAAATCAATGTCTGCTCCCCAAATATGAAAATAGTCTGGGCAGAAGATTTCATTTACCTACAGTATTGGAACATAGACAAATACTGTAAATAGGTTGAAGGAGAATACCTAAACTATCCAAAAGAAATGCAACATCCCTCAGAGTAATATCCCTGCACGATAGGCAACGATGCAGAAGAGTGTTTGTGAAAAACTATGCTGCAAGTACAGGCGTTAATTATGCTTCAAAAACTAAGAATCACATTAGTTCAACTACAGTTTCAAGGGATAGGTAGAAGCTCTAAAACTATTCCTAAAAAGGGAAACAAAAAAACACTGAAAGTAAATTAAACAGTGGGATAATCTCCTGTACAGTTAGTGCCTTTTACAGACAGCTTTGAGTTTGACCCTTTGAAAATAACGAATGGTGGTTTGTTTGGAGGTGGACTGCAGAGCAACTGTACAAGAGCTACAGTAAAGCATGAGAGTGATCAATCCAGGGGTTTGGCTGTATTTAAGTCAGCATGTCAGGTTGCCATAGTAATCAAAGGTATCCTGACAGTCAACAGGTACAGATTCTGATCCAGAAGGCCAACATTGTCTCCATAATCATTTACAATACTCTATAAACCTGGTATGGAAAATACATATCTTAAAAAGAATTAGAAGAAAGCATTTTGGTCTACTTACATTATTTATGGTTGAAATGAAGAGTAATGTTGCTGAGATTACATGAAACAGGATAATGAAAGCCAATATTACCAACATCGTCACTTAAAAAGTTCAGGTTTCAGATGGAACTGGACCTGTAAAACAAAAATGTTTAAAGATATACAGGGCAAGGATACTGTACTTGTGGGAGAGTGCAAGGACAAGGGGAATTGTCCAATTTAAAAACACCTAAATATCAAGAAACGACATAATGTAAGAATTGTACAGTAATAAATATAACGGTAAATATAAATAAATAGATAAATATAACCACTCCCAAATACATTCATTTACAAGTGTGGTGAATATACATTTTGTATATTAGACTCCAAACCCCCCCTGTCCTTAGAGCATCAAATGTCTTCAATTCAATTCAATTTAATAAGTGAACTGGGTCTAAAAATATAAAAACGAATTACAGTGTTTTGTTACTGAACACAGTTTTGTTGTGTTTTGGTTTATGAAAATACATTTTAAGCCTTAATCTGATATATTAAACAGCACAATTTTGACTTTTTTTCATTTAAAAACTACAGCTTTCACTGAGGGTTGCTTACATAATTAAGGCACACTTGTTCACAGAGTGTTACTTCAGTAGAACTTTTCTGCTCTTCGATGGGGAATGTGGCGCTCAAGATTTTTTCTTTGGTCTTATTCAAATACCAAGACAAACAAATTACTTCAGTGCTGACGTTTGTACAACTCTGTGTTGTTACCCCTCCTTTCAAACCTTTTCCAAAAAGCTGTGTTGGAAGCTCAAAAACTACAGAATCCAATCCAATTGCACTAGTCTTTTAAGCATTAGTGCAGTGATAAGACTAGTGTCTGGCCTGAGGCTTGGGTTTAAACCTCCAGACCATAACACATGGAGACAGAAGTGAACACTTCACAGAAGACACTCCCTCTGATATAACAAAGAAGCAAGCCAACTGAAAAAAGCAGGAAACTGTCAGTGGGAACACAAAAAAAAAGAAGAAATGATAGATATGTACACAAACATACAGTCACGCAGTTTGGTTTGATGAAAAAAGCATTGAAGGTTTGCTTCTTTGAAAGACAGCGACTTGAAATCTAACATTTTAAATAAAGCTTCCTTCCTTGGACTGGTGAACACAGCAATATAAACCTGTCAGTTGAAATAGAAAACTGCAGTAGTAGTAGGCAGAGAAAAACAAACCCACCGTCTAAAACATCCACAGCAGTAGTACTGTAAGTGTACAATTAAGAGGCTGGGTTTACAGCCCAGCTCAGTGCAGCGGTTTCATTCAGCACCTGGTGTTCATTTACTTCAAACCACCCACTTGTGCAAGGGAGCAGGGAGAGGGTGTGGACTGCTGGGCCAAGAGTAAATGTGTGAAATCAGTAAAAACTGAAGCAAAGGGAAAGAGGAATGAAGACAAGCAAAAGCAAGAGTTTGGGAGTTATTCACATTGGGTTGTCTGGGGATTAAAATTGGTTATTCCACTAAATGCACATTTTCCTCTTAAGTATAGGAGTATAAAACACAGCCAGACAAGTGCTATAATGTGGTTGGACATTAAGGTCTGATTCTCTACTTTACTTCACTGGGTTAAGACTAGACAAAATGGCACATTTCTCCACACATCTTTTGAAATTGCAAACCCAGTAACATTTTCTCCAAAGAACTCACCTAGTCATGTTCAGTACATAAAAGCTGGCATTCTTGCAAACCTTTGTACGTAATATTCAACATGAATAATTTAAAACTCCAATGTAGGATGTATGTGGTAAATTGTTAAACTAAGAGAAATAAGTTCTCTTGAAAGTACATGCATGCAGGGGCTCTAAGCTTCAACAAAAGCACCTTTTCCTCAAACACAAGTAATATCCACTCATTCATGTACAGTTTTTATAATCTTGCAGTGAAGCCGACAACTTCATTTCCGCCCCTAATTATATCTTGCGTACAAGAAATTCAGAACAGCTATCTAAGTTGATTTAAAACAACTTAAGCAGACATCTCTTGTGTTTGCAGTTACTGAGCACTGGCTGCAAAATGTCAGTCGGCATTCCATCTTTCTAAAAAAAATCCTGTGCTTTCCGCCAAAAGGAACACTTGGTTTCACAAACTGGAAAGGAGTTTGCCGAGAATGTTACAGAATGTGTTTTAAAAAATGGGTGGGTGAAATAACAGAAGATCTGGACACTTTTCTGCCTCCATCAGCAGAATGTTCCACTGGGAAACTCCAGTGGGGACCTGTGGTGAATCTGGGATTATGTGTTTTTTTTCCTCTCTAAAGTAGGAGAATTTAAATACCGTTGACAAAACGCCCATTTTGAAGAGGGAGAGAATACAGGTTAATGATCGAAAAGGGCAAGATTTCGCTAAAACAAACAGGAGCAGATGAAAAGGCCCCTCACAAAAGCCAACTGACTGAAACCGGAAGCCTGATCTAATTTACCTACTGGATGTCATAAAATGAAGGCATGCAAAACAATAAATGGGCAAGACTCCTGCAGTAATATTTGCATACTGGCAATATGGAAGATGATCATCACGAGGCGCCTGCAGGGTTAATGAGCAAAGAACTCCTTTGTCACAGACGCACTACGCCGTGCTGATAGCATTTGCAACCTGCACTGCACAGAACAAGAGCAGTTCACCTCCACAGTCGGGCACTCGTAGTCCCAGTTTGCTCCCAGTACTTTCAAACTAGGCTCTGGCTTGCCGCGACCCTCACCAGGATGAGACGCTTGACAGCAATGATTTTGTTTTATCCTTTGCTGATGTTCTAACATCTCCTGCTATACAGACACCAAGACCTAATGCAAGCGCTCCTGTGAAGATCACTGGGCATTTACAACACCCTTCCTGCATGAAATTCTTTTCATAATGAGAAAGGTGGCCTCTGCTCCATTCCGCTTCCCACTGCTCTTTCAACATTGTAATCCATTACACGAGCCCCAGTTTAACAGCACTAGTATGTTTTTATTGTCACTGAAGCTTGAGAATCCCAGTTCACAGTCATAAAAATGCTGATAGATCTACCAGCAACTTACACAAGTTTTGCTTCCAGGAGCAGTAGGCTCACTCATTCCACTGCTAGTGCATGTTAGCTTTCCTTCCCTTAACATCTGCACTGCAGCTGTTCTGATAAAAGTTATTACAGCCTTTGACTCCAACTTATAATGGGGTTGGGGGTGGGGGGGGGGG